AAATGAATTCTGGGTATTTGAGGCTCTTCCTATAGCAGTTTATGCGTGCTGTTTTTTGCAGAAAATCTATTGTCAAATTACTGTGGCACGTGAAGGGCTTTTTCTCAGGCAAAGTAAAGAAATACTGCTACATGAATTCTTGGAAATAATTTGAAGGTTGAGGTAAGAACAATTTGTTTTGAACCTGAAAGATGAAAGCTTGTAGACTGTTGGGAAGAGATGTCCTTAAGTGACACCTTCAGTCCTATCCTTTCCTCCTTTTATAAGACCAAACTTAACCTTAGCAGGTTCCCCTTTTTCTTAAATGTTAGCTAGGTCGTTACCTGACCTTAATGTAATTCCACCCCCTCAAGGATCAAGGAGACATGCACAAAGTCTCCTCAGAGCCTTTAGTCCTTGTGGCTTCTGCTGAGTGCAGTCACAACACCTCATGTTCTGACACTCCAGAGCAATGTCACAGAATCATAGAATCACCTAGGTTGGAAAAAACTTTTAAGATCATCAGGTCCAGCCATTAACCTAACGCTGCCAAGTCCACCACTAAACCATGTCCCTAAACACCACAGCTATATTTTTTAGGATTTCCCTCTGCCATCTCCAGAAAGATCCATGAAATTTTCAGTTATCATTGTTCATGTATGATTAAAATTGTCTATTATTAGAACATATCTGGCAGCAGAGCAGCTGCCCGCTTTTTGTGTAATGCAATATTAATTAATACCCTCGCTCCACAGGCAGCGAGGCTGGAGATGTGATCTGTATCCAGCCTGCGGGAGATTAAACTCCTGTCTCCTGTGCTGCCGAGAGTGCCCTAAGCAAGACGCTGTGGCTCGGTCGGCGAGAGGCTGTGCGTTCCGCGTACGCCGCGGCGCGGAAGCCTGGCGCTGACTGACATCCTTGGCACGGCACCGTGCCCAGAGCAAGTACTAACAATGTAGGGAGCTTCACTTTGGTCTGGGTCGTTTAGAAAGGACAAAATTTAAAAATCCAGTGTAGACTGGAATTGTGGTTTATGTCATGGATAGGGTACTGTTTCTACGTAATACCATTCTTCTGAATGTATGGAGTATAGCAGGTTCTGATACCTTCTGAAACACTTTATTTACTGTAGTTGTAATGCCTTTTATTTTTTCAAGGCCATAAACTAGCTTTTTGCCTAATTGTGTCCCAGATTGGAATGGCAAAAATCATTGTCAACAATCATTGTCAGGTGGCAAACCTGAAGTAGGACTTTAGCATGATACTGTAAAATATACACACACACACACACACACACACAGAGCTCTCCAACTTGCTGTCAGTGTCTGGTGGAATTCTTGGCCACGTTCAGCAGTAGACAGGACAAGAAAAGCTAAAGCAGAGCCTGTAAGGCATCTTCTTGTACTCACTATTGTTCTGCTAGGCTGTTGAGACCAGGTGATTATGGTGTTTTTGACAAATATGATTCCACATTCAATGAGATGCAAGCACTAGCCAGCTTCAGTGGGAATCCTCTTAACTTGCTATCAGTTTGTCTGAGGGTGGAATAAAGTTCTGTACTTTTCGTCTGTGTTTCAGATACAGAAAGGGTGTACGGGTTGGAAGCGCATCTTTTAGTACTGTCGTGTTATCTCTTCATTAAAATTAATTACTGAGATGTTGTTATACTTCATAAAAATTAATTACAGAGTTATTGTTATACTTGATTTTTTATTGGTAAAGGCTTCATATCCATTCTTTTTACATTTAATCTTGTCCTATTAGTACTAATGTCTTACCCACATAGCAGTTTCTATGCTTTTTCTAATGTACACTTGGTGAAGAATAAAGTAGTTATGTTGCGCTGTTAGGGGTTTTTTTAAACAAATGACAGGTACTTTTCTAAGAAAAAAAGTATGATTCCACTCTTGCACTGCCTCATGCATCTGCAATATTTAATGCATCCACAAATGAATTGTACTTGATCTAGCTTTCCTCTCTTTTTAATGAAGTCTGAAGCCCCATCCAAAACATGGAATAGGCCGTGTATAAATATGAAAGAGAGCATTTAGTCATGGAATGGATCAATTATCATATCCTGGTTATTTCTGATGGAGCCAATGGAATTGCATTTCTCTCCAGAACTAAAATTTTTCCTTACTAAGTGAAAATTTGCCAGTAGAATCCATATATGGAAGAGTCAAGCCTGGTCTGACTCTTGAATTAATTTGCTAGAGGATTCATTTAGTTTATCAGGTTTAAGGTTCACTTTGGAAACACTTGGGCAAAGGGAGGTGAAAGGGTTTCCTCTTTCATCTTATTAAAGACAGCATACTCTGGATGCATGGGTACTGTAAAAACTCAGTCTTGAAACGGAGTAAGTCCGGTGATAGTCAGTGGCTACGGTTCTATTTATAAATGGGCTCAAACTGCTTAAGCGTGTGCTGATTCTCTGGCGGTATGGGGATGAGAGCTGGGCACTGCCAAGCAGTGATTCCACACTGTGATTCAGGAATGGCATTTTTTTTACTCAGAATGGAGAAACAAGCTTTTGTATTGTTGGAATAGAAAACCAATTTAAAAAGCCCAAATTTGTCATGAAGAAGTCTATTCCTTTTAATTGTTGTTGCTATTGTTGACAGCAAGATGAAATCTTTTTTCAAAGTGATTGATTACAGGTATTTTAGCTGACCATTTTTGGCAAGCTCTTCATTTAAAATCCCTTTTGAAATATGGCCGTGATCTTATCAGAACATCTGCTTGCATAACATACACTTCATAAATAAGTTGCATGTTCTTTTTAAAAAGCCTGAATCATCTTCCCTACCTTTATTTTTAAGCTAAACACTTTCAGCATAAATATAAACCGCTTCTGCAAGCTAAGCCTGTTGCTCTGTAGCCTTTGCAGCCCTCTTCCTCTCCCTTCCCTTTCTTTCCCTCTTCCACCCACGTACCTTCCTCCTACTCCTACTTCCTCGGGTGCTGGGATACTACAGAAAGCCCAGCAGGATTCCAATATTTACCCTTCCCCCAACTTCCAAAAGACAAATTGGGAGAATTTGAAAAAGACTAACAATAAAGGGTGTTACAAAAGGACATTTTTAAATCCCAAAGTTCTAAGCAGTCTATAGTGTTTAAATTTCTGTTGAGGAATAATATTTTTTAAAGCAAATAAATTACAAAAATTGACATACAAGTACCTTGTTAACCAACCCATGCTTCTGGTGACCTGAACATGCAGATTTTACACTCGTGAACTGTACTAATAAATTACTTATTGTCTTTTGTGTCTTAATATTTACTGGAAATTTTATTTTAATTAACTTTCATTTAACTATTAAAATATAGATAATTGATTTATAGGTGACTATTCCCCCTACTTGGCTGTTTTATGGTATGTTACTGTTTAGCAAGGTTACCGCTTTCTTCATTAAACTCAAAAGCATTTACTGTTTTGTTCCCGTCTTTATCACAGGATGACACACCTGTTACGGGGTGTACCTGAGATTTCTTGCAGCTTGGGGAAAGAACCAGTCAGTGACACTGTAAACTTAATGTGACCGATAGTTCAGTTCAACAGCCGTGTCCCAGCTGGGGTTTTCCTGTTTGGGGTAGTTTTTCACTTCGGTGCTACTTTCCCTCGCTTTTTGGAGGGTGGTGGAATTTTTTTAGTTTCATGAAGTATTTTGGGTATAAAATGCAACTGAGTAAGCTCAGCTTATTTTTAGTTTTACTCATTCTGGTTTTTAAACAAGATTAGGGAAAACTTCGAGAATAAAAGGAATGTCAAATCAGTATTGTTTCATGTGCCCGGCCTCATGGGACATGTGAATATAGAAAAGATTTTAAGTTTTAGTTGCTTCAGAGCTAAAGACACATAAGTCTCAGCCATTTGAGTCTGATTGGTGTAAGGGCCATAGATGACATATCTAAACAAATTATGCTAACCTGAAATGTCATGGAGAAAGGCTTTGATGCCTGCTCTTGCCATACTCTCCAAATTGAACCGGTTCATTTGTTTCTAATGCAGGGTGGGTAAATGAATCCTGTACTGATACATGGGTGGAAAATTGTGTCTCATTTCCTAGAGGAGAGTGAATTTTTTCTTCCATAAAGATCAAAACTCTATCTTTACAAGCAAATACAAAATTAAGAAGAAAAGCTGTCTCCCTGTAGAAATCTGCTGGGACATTATGATTGTTTCTACAAATACTGACTGTAATTCTATATATAGGTCATCCAGTCTTTAGTTAGTGCCAGTCATCTTTAAGTTTTAAAGATCTCTACCTTGTCTAACATGTCGATGTTTTAGGGATAACATCACTCCCTGGTGTTATGATGCTGTGAAAATCCCATCAGGTGGGATTTGAATGGGAAAATTGATCTACCTGCAAATGTCGTTTCTCTGAAAATTAAAGGTCTACAGGGCATTCCTATCCTGAAAACAAACTGATCATTGGTGGAACTGGATTTATTTTAGTAACAGGAATGATTTCTGAAACGTGTAAGAAAAATGTTTATTTTTAACAGTACTGTATCTGTGGTTTACAAAAGGATAAGTAGATTACCCTGGTTAGGGAAGCCCGGGGGAAAGTTAGTGTGGTGTAATATGCCATTGCTCCATCCACTGAAAAGCCTGATTTTATCCCCAAGCTGCAAGAAAAGTGAACAATCCTTTGTGATTGAGCTGTGGAGCTTATGAAAGAGAGGGACATTTTTACTAAAGGACTGATGCATTATCCAATTTTCTAATAATACTGCTTTATGATACTGCTTCACTTTAAAGTGCTACATTTTGAGAAAAGGCATTACGAGCCAGAGCATACAAAAACTGTACTCCTTTTCCTTCCTTGCTATAGAAAGCAAAAGCTTGGATGTTAGCAGAATAACAGTGCAGTATAATTGTGTATTTTAAAAAAACATCACAATGGAGTTACACATATTCAAGCTGGATATAATGTTGTCAGGTAGAACTGAGTAATCTTGCCATTTGTATTGCAGCTACCTTTTGACTTTGTGTATTTTGCTTTTCTGTTTCTTAGATGCACAGCCCACAGATGGAGAAAGGGAGGTATGGAATCAGATCAGTGCAGTTTTACAGGACTCGGAAAGTATGCTTGCAGACCTTCAGGCTTACAAAGGAGCTGGACAAGAAATTAGAGATGTATGTTGAAGTTAGTGACAGTTCTTTGGAAGCAAAATCAAGCAAAACTCAATGTGTTCCTTGCTTCTGTTCTATATCTAAGTACATTCTATGAAATTATATTAAAATCTTCATGAAAATCAGAAAATATGTTACAGATTATGTATAACGTTGAATATAAAACCCTAATGTGAAATCATTAAATGATGGCTGTTGGAACTTCTTTTAGGTTTAATAGTAGTAATTAGTAATTGTTTTTCACTTTGAGAAACACCATTTCATATATCTCTACCTGGTAGAAGTCAAAATTGAGGGCATGGAAGAAATATTACTCAGATGTCAGAAATACATTATAAAAAAAGTTGAAAATACTTGTTCTGTGTAAGTGAAATAATGAACCACAGTAAATGATAACCTTACATCCACTTTACAGGCATCTTATTCCATGAAACTGGTCCCAAAGTACAATTCTGAACTGTAACTTAAAATTTTTTATCGGCTGACCAAACCTTTTCCTGCATCAGCTTCACGGTTACTGTTAACATGAGCTGTTGGTTACTAAAAGAACCTGAATATGTTGAAGATTTCAAAAGCATTCAAAACCTTTTAAAAAAAGGCTATTTCTACAACCAGTAGTTATACAAAAGGTTTTACCTGATGCATCTACAATGCTCCCCAAAGAATATGTTAAAACGTATTTCTGTATGTCAGTGGTGCATTAGAATTAATAATTTTAAATCAGTGTGTTACAGGGCGAGAGGGAAGGTGGGAAATGTGGTATTTTTTTTTTACTTACTAATTTCCTATTCCTGAGCAATGGAATATCTCATAATTGTTCCATGATTTACAATACTTACTTTCTAAAGTAGTAGAAAACTTCCAAACCACCTTTGGCTTGTTACTCATATATCACAGTTCTTTACAGTAATATTTTCATTTCAGGCAATACAAAATCCCAATGATATCCAGTTGCAAGAAAAAGCATGGAATTCAGTATGTCCTCTGGTTGTAAGGCTGAAGCGATTTTATGAGTTTTCACTCAGATTAGGTGAGCCCTGTTTTAGTATGTCTGTTTATTAGGATACTTTATATATAAAGAAATAGGAAGTTTATTTTTCTGCAGACTTTTAAGGGGTTATTATTCTTTCTGTTTGATATCAACAGATATTTAACTGCAACTACACTTCTCAAGGCATATTTTTAATCTTAATTTAATTTCAAAATTATCGTAGGTTGTTAGTTTGTCACTTAAAATAAATCTGTGTTCTCTAAATAGAGTACAGGCAAAGAACGTGATAAAACTTCTGAACTTCACAGGTCCATATTGTACTAATGTAAATTTTTTTTTGTAATTTGGATACCTCAGAGTTTTAAAAGGAATGTAAACCAATAATATTTTGAGATTTCTTAAAAACAAGGATGGCGAGGAGGGTATCAATAAACTCTCTCACAGGGTGAAAATCCAAAATTGAGCATGTCTTACACTGCTTTTGTCATCCCTGCAACCCAAAACCTGATGTAATTACTCCTTGAATTAGGATTTTGGAAGTGTGCAAAAATTTATGTATAAAGTGGAAGAGCTCCCAACGCAAGGGAATTCTTCTACAACATCCTGCTTACTAAGTCTTTCACTTTTTGAGGTCTGCTAGTAATTATAGCCGCAGGAGCTGAATTACATTGCTATCAGTGCCTAAGAGTACACTTTAGTAACAGATGCCAGAATAATCTCTATACTGAGCTGATGGCTAATTGGGGAAGATGAAAGAGAAAGAGCCGAGTATCTGAACGCAAGAAAAATGCTTGCTCTAGAATTTTCGATAGGGAACCCAGATAAAGGGTGATAGAAAGGGAAAAGAGCTCAGTGGTACAAAATGGAGAGAAAAATGGCAGAGAGCCTGAAGAGGCAGGTGTCTTTGACTAATGTTTCTCACCTTAGAATAGTAGAAAAAGCATTTCTGTTAGGGCCCTGCTTGTTTGAGGGTTCCTTCCTTTCAAACAAAGTATATTTAGGTACTTACTTAAAACTTTGTCGTAATGTGAACTGAATAGAATTTGTGCTTCTGATTTTTATTCAGAGAAAGCTCTGCAGAGTTTGTTGGAATCCTTGACGTGCCCACCTTACACTCCAACTCAGCACCTGGAACGAGAGCAGGCTCTAGCAAAAGAGTTTGCAGAAATCTTACATTTTACTCTTCGTTTTGATGAACTTAAGGTTGATAAAATTTTATAATATATACTGATTTTTTCCATGTGTTTTGATCCAAAACTGATTATTTCCTGTTTGTCTTCCCCTAAGATGAGAAACCCAGCAATTCAGAATGACTTCAGTTATTATAGGAGGACAATAAGTCGCAACAGAATAAACAACATGCATGTAAGTAAATAAAATCTGATTTGGTGTTCACAGTGAGGTATTTTTCAGTGTGCATTTATACCATTTGTGGTAATGTTTTTTCTTTTGATTTGCTAGCTGTCATGTTCTCTCCTTCACACCCAGAGTTAACCAGCAGCCTGGATGAAGTGATGAAGAGTAGAACTATTCATGCAACAATCTGCTTGCTGACATGAGCATGTACTGTATCTTTTTCTTGCTGCCGGCAAGATTTTAAAAGAGTTTTACTGACTATTTTTTCTCATGTTTTCATCAGCTAGACATTGAGAATGAAGTAAATAATGAAATGGCCAATAGGATGTCCCTGTTTTATGCAGAAGCCACACCAATGCTGAAAACACTCAGCAATGCAACTACACATTTTGTATCAGAAGTAGGTAATGGGGGAGAAAAGGTCTAACACAGACATTCTTGACTTTAATTTTACAAGATGGTTTACTGAACATTGGCTGTTTTTTTATCCTCCTAGAACAAAACATTGCCAATTGAAAATACAACGGACTGTCTAAGTACTATGGCTAGCGTATGTAAAGTCATGTTGGAAACACCGTAAGTTTTACCTTAAATCTTGTTTTTCGTGTATAAGAGATTTTGTATTGTATTTTAAGTAGCCACCTGTGATAAAAACAGTTTTTTCCAAATGAATTCCTGTATGTTTGCCTTAGTTGTTACCACTTCTGTAAACAAAGCATGACCTGGTATTAGAAAGTCTTGCCACCTACTATCTCTTGTTTACCCATACTGCTCAATTACTAGCACACAGAGGGGCAACATTTTGTCTCTTCCACGTAGCGCTTTTGCAAATGATACACAGGGACTATTTTGAGGATCATTTGAGTAGATCTTTTTTGGATGCAGACATCTTACTGTGTATATGAGAAGGTTCAGCTATATGGAAACTGTACGATTGTGTTTATAACCACTTAGCATAGATTTAGCCAGTGGAGTTGCTATTGTTTAACTATGCATTTAGTTGAGTATTTTTTAGGTTACATGTATCTCTGAGTGGAAAACACATACAAGGTAGTCTTGAATCATTTTGAAGTCTTTGAATTTTTTGTTCGTGGTGCCATGTAAAGGGTAGAGTTCCTAAGGTTATCGTGTGTGTTTATGAAAATTCTGGAGAAGTGTATGTAGGTGATGGGACATAATATCATCTCTCAATCCCAGGACATCATAGAAACAGTAATTGAAAAGTAGCTTTAGATGTTGGATCAATTCTTGGCAAAAGTAGAGAAACAAAGTTGTGAGTCATCTGCCAGAAAATTATTTAGTTCAAATTGTGAGATAACCAAGCATTTTCACATGAAAATGTCTATAGCCTTTAAGTTTTTTCATGTTTGATGCTGTGTAAGAATAAAAGTTGAAGTTACTGTAAAATAAGAGGTAGTATAGTACAAATTTTAGTATTTTTAATGATAAATTCAAGTGAAAAAGGTTTTATATTGAAAATCAATCAATGGCAGTAGACAAATCTCTGTATTATCTACACAAAATAATATTTGTTAGAAAAATTGTGATAATTTCTGTTTTTCAGGATTTCTGTTTTTCTCTACTGTAATTCTTTTTTCACTTCCCAATAATGGTTTCAGGGATTAGAGCCGATGGGGGCTGTCTTAACTATTCCATCCATGTTCTTATTTTGGAACTGAAAAGTCAAAGAAAAACTCTTTGGAATTAGTTCAGTCCAGTCCAACCTAGTAGGCCACCGTATTTTAGATCCTTCAGTGATCCTGTGTTGTTGAAGTTGCCTGCGGACTTAGAAGAGAAAGAGAGAGGGAGAGCAATGTCTTATGAGCGAGAGAGAGCAATGACCTAGGTCAAGCCCGGAATTTACTAGCTGCTGAAATTAGATACCACTTAAATGTTAATGTTTCAAAGTAGGAATTTAAGCAAAAAGAGTAGCATTCCTTTGAGGTCCTGATAGGTTGTGGTTCTAAGATTAAACAGAAGTACAATCAGTCTCCACCATATTTCATGAACTATGGAAGTCCTGTGAAGTCATCATCATAGACATTTTGATGAAGTGAGGATCTGAACTGTGGAGGGGTATTAGAAGGAATTTACGTATCTCTCTTTGCTTTCTAACCATCCTTCTAAATTAACAAGGACTTATGCAATTCAAAGATCTTCAAAATCTTGCTAAGATGCATCTTCAACCATAAAATACAATTTTAGTTCAGATTTCAAACACTTATAGTCTAGTTTGCAGAATCATCCAGTAGAAAGTCAAGACTGTTTATTTCTTTTGTTCTGTTTTGCAGAGAGTACAGGAGTAGATTCACCAGCGAAGAGACCCTTATGTTCTGCATGCGAGTAATGGTGGGAGTTATCATTCTGTATGATCACGTTCATCCTGTGGGAGCTTTCTCAAAGACATCAAAGATTGATGTAAGAGTGACTTTTCTTCAATACTCTGTAGATTTGAGAATACTAGGCTGCAGCTTTTTTTTTTCAGCACAAGCTTATGACTTTGTATAAATCATTTTAATTACTTTTGAATGGCAAAATTTAGAATTTATCTTCACCTGCATACTTCAATGTGTCAGCTTGTTTGAAATTAAAATAAGGATCATTCTTTTTTCCTTGTATTTTCTTCCAGACACTGATACTCATTTGTCTTTGTTAGCTCTGCTTTCCTGCCAACAGTATGGTTATACTAAAATAATTTTGTATTACTGCTGCCCTGGAATAAGTTTTATGCTCATAATTTTTTATTAATCATGTAATTTATTTATGCTGAAATGCTCATCTTCGATAGTAGCTCTGTTGTAAATAAGCAGATATTTGACATTGTCTCTGCCTCAGTTCTGAAGTAGCAGAACTGAAATGTTATTGTTGTAATGTTGATAATGAGCCTTCAGTTTTAGCTTTGGCATGACCGGTCACAGGGAAATCAACCTTACTTTTTTAATTTGAGATATTGCAAACACACAGAAAAAAGTACTTTTACTTCTGCTACATGTTTTTACAAACATAAATCTCATGCGCCACATCTTTCAGCAGAAATAAGCTGTTATTCATGAAAAAAGATGCTAAGTCTTTCCCTTTACAAGAGAGTCTACTTCAAAAGAAAAGAAGAAATATGTGTCTGTTATAGCACTCCATGACAGTGAGTCTTAGTTAGCTTTCTTCATCTGCAGGTACCAGTATTTTACCACATCTCCTCTTTGACTCTGTTTTACAGAGGGAAAGATAAGTCACAAAGAGGTGAATTGATTTGCTCAAGGTCATGCAGCAGATAGAGGCTGGGAATTGAATGCAGACTTCCTGACTTCTGATTCAGTCTCTTGCCTGCAGAGGCTACACACGTAAAATTTTGACAGGACCAAGTATGCAGTGTTTGTACTTTGTTTCTCACATTTATTGTAAAGCCTTGTAATCTTACAGGATAGTTAGCTAGATGTAAATGGAAGGCAGGAGATGTACGACTCTGTTTTTAAAAATTTGTACAGTTCCAAATCTTAATTCACTTAATTAGTTCAGTGATTCTTCTCTAATTAAAAATCTTAAAATATTTCAGATTATGAGTTTGTTCTACTGTGAAAAACAATTTTTTTCTCCAAAGTAGTCACTTCTTGGGAGCTATTTCAAGAGAATCGGGGACAGTGGAACACATTACCCTTTCCTCACACTTTCAAGGCTGGAGACTGTATTTCAAGCTGTTAGTTACAGGCACCTAGCTTAGACGTCCTAACAGCTTCTCTTTTTTGTCTGTTTTAAGAATTCTGATTCTAAATAAAATGGAAATGAATGGTTTGAATTTTTATAGCCTTTGAGTTTGTCTGGTTTGACGGGGCATGTAAACCTGCACTGAGTGATGTGCCTATAGTCTTGAGTTCTTCTAATTCAGGAGAAATAGCTGTGTTACTTAAAAATATGTGCTGCCACATCTGATCAACTATTTGCACAGCTGGTTTTATCTTCCAGGTAGAAATAAGTCAATTGAGCAGTGATCAGTAATTGTTAGGCTGGTCATTGTGCAGGAAGCTGTCACATTTTCCATGTAATTTTTAACGGCAAGTACATGGACCCTAACTTCAGTTAAGTATTTCATCATCCACATTCATAATAAGGCAGAGTTGCTCCTTAGCTACAAAGAAAATGCTGGCATATAGATTTAGCACTGTAATGTGACTTGAGAAGGTTCAAATCTTGACTCTGCCATGTCTTCATCTGTTACTTTAAATAAAATGGAATTAATATAGACTAATTTCTGGGTAGCTATTAGATGTCTTTATAACAATGGGAAGAAACAGGTACTTCTGGAGCATGATTCGCTATATCTGAAAGTATATTCCAAATAGGTTAGAGAAATTTCTTATTTCTCTAATTGAAAACTATTTCTCTTAGTTCTAGTTGACTAAATAGGGAGTCTGTATACTGGGTCAAATGAGTTCTACCTCTACTTTCTCTACTACAGTTCCTCTTTTGTAATTTGAACAGCGTTTTAGCCTGGTTTTTACAGTCTCCATGAAGATCTTTGTTCAGTGTGGTGTTTAAAATCAACATCATCGACTTCTTATCTCAGGTTAAGTTTGTAACTACTAATTATGAAACAAATCCTAAGTTATCACCAGCTAGGTTTACAACTGAAAACTCAATACTGAAAATTACTTCCATGTGTGCAATCATAAAAATAAAAGTCAAAGTTGAAACATCTCTTCGGATAGTTGCTAACAGCAATGACGTGGAACTCTCTTCCAGAATCTTTTTTTTAGCTTGTATCAGCTGTTCTTGATATTTTTTTATGTTGGTTAAAATGTATATACTTGATATATAATTTACAATCTACAAATGCTTATTAAAGTAGTTGTTGTGTTCTCAGAAGTTAGGTTTTTAACTTAGGATCATTTTTCGTAAGTTATAATACATTTATTGTGTCATATAAAGCAGCATTAACACTCACTAGGAAAAAAAACCTGCCTGTCTTTGGTGAAATTATTCCTTGTTTTCAGCTAGTGCAATTCATATATTATTGTTCAATAGTGGCATGCTTCTGTTCCCAGATGAAGGGATGCATAAAAGTTTTAAAGGAACAACCACCTGACACTGTGGAAGGACTTCTGAATGCTCTCAGGTATGTGTGGAATAATTGTGTCATTCAGACTTAAAAAATTCCTCTTTTTTTTTTTTCCTCCAAATCTCTTTTTATTTAAGACTTTTCACCTTAGAAGCTTGATTTCTTAAGAAAATTGTCCTTTCAGGTTTACCTCGATTACCTGGGGTTTTCTTAAGTAATACTCATTTCATTCAATTCCATTTCACTTTGATAAGCAATGACTATTAATATTGGAAGTAATTTTCTTTAGAGATACTTAAGGTTCATTTTATCACCTACAACTTAGCCATCTAAAAGGTAAACAATACCTCAAAGGTAAACAGTATACCTAAGCTAAGTTTTGTTATATAAAACACCCCAGCAACTAGAACATTTTAGAAGGAAAGAGTAGAACTTCTATTTCTCAAACTCTTGATACTTCCCTTCTTTCTTTCCCCGTGATTTAATAAGACTTTAATTTTGCTAAATGATACAACGTGAAGAAAACAGCAACCTAAATCCCAACCCTGTAGGCAACTGTTTAAGGTACTGTCTTGGGAAGCAAGACACTTCTCTGAAGCTTCTCTTGGGTCTGACACTTCTCTGAAGCTGAGAGGGGAGTCCTAGTATCAAGTTTTTCAGAGCTGTATTAGATTCTGTAGCTGCTGAATGCTTACATAGAGTGCGAATTCCAGCCGTAACAACCTCCACATTTGCTTATCATGTCTTTTGAATTGGAATTGATGTAGAGTGAAATCCTACAGGTATCAGGTGTGTTTTGAGCTTATGTGATGATTGATCAGCCTACGAACATATGCAGTGGAGAATGTTTGGTCTTAAATGCTAAAAAACATGCTAAAGCTCTTCAGTCCTCCCAAGATATTCCCAAAAGTGTAATTCAGCACCAAACAAACTCTGCTGGTTACAAAATCTAAAAAAATAGAAAACCCTCTCTGTGATGGTACATTGTAAGATGTAAAGGTACAGGACATTTAAGAAAGCTGCTTAAAATTAGGCTTCTAGATTATGCCAAAATTCAATCTAGATTCCTATATCCTTTTAGTATTTACCCTATTTCTTACATCTTTCCGTGTTTTTTACTTCTTTTGGGGCTTTTAACTGGAAAATAAGATACCATTTCAACCCAAAATTGTGAGTGTGTCATAGATGGATGGCAAACAGTATTTAGCCAGGGTTTAGCCACAATTCTCCACCTATTAGCAGGGGATAATTTATTGCAAGGGGTATTTAGAAGATAAAGAGCAGCAGACTATTAACAGTTAAATTTCAGTGCTCAGTGACTAGAGGAACATGTAAATTCCTCCTTTGTGTAATTGAACTGCACTGATCTCAAAAACAGGCACTGAAGTTTTCAGACTTTTTTAACCCCTGTTCATTTTATAAAATACTGTTTTAATTTGTAACTTTTAGGTTCACTACAAAACACCTGAACGATGAATCTACTTCAAAACAAATTCGAGCTATGCTGCAGTAGTATCCTGAGACAAGTAGATGTTTGTACTGATCACAGAAGATGTGTATGTTTACATAATTTAATACAGTTTGATGTTAATACTTGTGTGTATTTACATAACCATTTTCTTCACATTGCTAAAATACATGAATTGGTTCATAACCTGACTGACTTTATATAGTGCAGCCTAAGTTTTTATGCTGGCCTTTATCTTTTGACTTTTAAAATACTTTTTTACTTAGATATTTCAGTTACAACAGTTTATCTGTACATTTTAATCCTTAAACACCTTCCCTATCAGAGAAGTAAGTAGTAGTGGAGACAAAATGGAAATCAAATAAACCGAAATGTCAAAGATACCACGGAAAAAGAACTTTAAAGAAGGAGATAGTTAATATAAGAGAAAGTGACATTCATTGGATATGTTTTAAGAACATGTGCACAATTTTGTAGTCAGTTTTAGGATCTCAACAAACTTGTATGAATAGGAGAATGCCTGAATGTTCATCACTCTCTCAAAATATGTTGTCTTTCCTGTAGTAAGTGGAGATCCACCTGATTTTAAGGATTATGTGCTGTCTGACACCCAAAAATGCATTGCAAAGAGGTCATTTTAGCTCTTTTATTAAGTATGAACTGTACCTTTCAACCACCGAGGAAATTAATATCCTTCTTCAGATTCAATAGAAATAAACAGAAAACGTGTCTTAAGACCATTGCTAGATTTTGAAAATTCTGTATAATTTTATCAGATTTAAAAAGAAAAGAGAAAATACTAATGCTTTGACTTAACTAGCAAGCTTTTGTCAGTGTAAATATGTCATTCTCTCTCAGACAGCTCTGCCCGGTAAGTAATTTTTTTTACTGATATAAACTGGTATAAAGAGAACACTCTTCTGTAGCAGCAAACTTCCCTAGTGTCAAATTGGCCTTATCAGACTAGGGATGATATAAGTATGTTTTAAGAGCTGAGCTGTTCTTAAGCACTCCATCAAGTTCCTTGATAGTATTATTCATTAGATGATGCAGAGTCAACGCAGAAATATATATGAGCTGACTGCTTTTCATTGATTTTTGAGATGTGATTGATGCTTCAAGGAGTTGAGTTCCTTACTGTGTTTGTTCCAAACTGGTGTTTGTTCTTACTTTCTAGTAACCTTTCCAGTGAATGGAATAGAAATACTTTGCCAAAAGCAGCAAAGTGCTCACGCTCTGTTAAGTGTGTCTTCTGAGTGGTCTGCAGATGCTGTACATATTCTTGCAGAGGTCACGTTCTGAAAATGTGTTCAATTTTGTGTACTTTGCTTGCATGTATGTGTGAAAACTCCAGTGCTTGTGCACAGATTCAGATTTGTATTTCCTTATTCCTGTGTATATAAATCAGGGCTTGTGCGCTCTCACTGGAATTTTCATGCATATCACTTCTAAAAACGTTACCTTAAGACTTTGAAGATGCATTTGGTCTGCTGAAGCTTGGCTGCGCTGTGACAAATTGAGTCATTGAACTCAGTCCTTAAACAGTATTAATATCATAAGTTGTTTGGAGTAGGGATTGCCTTAGAGTTTATTTCTGAGCAGAACGACCACTATGAGGTTTCTCAAGACTGATCAGAACCCATAGGCACCAACGTTATCCATGTCGTGATACTGGAGAGCACCAGAACTCCAGCATTCATGTCACACATCTGCAACTCTAGCAGCAGATCACTATGTTGTTGTCAGGAACAGGATTAGAAATTACATTAGTTTGTTTTTTTTCTTTTTCTGGAAGCAGTGATCACAGTGCTTTTTCACAGTAGTAAATCACTGTTTACAAGCTCCGTTCTTAGTGGGGGGACATTTAAAAATGTGTATTAGGGAAAATCCTGCTTTGTTCATAGTCACTTCCAGTTAGTTAAATCTAGGTGGATGACAGGTCATTCTGTTGAGCTTTGGTAACTGAAGTTAATACATGCTTACCTGCAATTATTTGTCAAACGATGAAGTCTTATCTTTAAGTAGCCCAGAGGAAAGCTATTTGTCACTTGTATAATAAAAATGTACACTTTAAAGCATTCTGTGAGTTGTCATGTGCTGTTTGCTGAAGTCACTGAATTTCTTTGTCTGCTTTGATGTTTTTGTACAGAAGTTTGTTTGAAATAATAAAAAGTTTGGTACAGTAAGCATTGGAACTGTCTGTATTTAGAGACAACATAAACAGGTTGAGAAATACCTCATTTAAAGTTTTGGATCTGAGATATAGTAGGCTCACCTTTATGAATCCAGTCTGTAGTGTGTTTAAAAATCATTTTATGTATGCCACAACAGTATAACCTCACATCACTTAAACAGTTCCTCGGTTTTTCTGACAATTCTTGGTGCTTGTCTGTCATCTTGACCAGGGGAAATTGTTGATACTGCTTTACAGAGTAGAGGGCATGAATCCCTTCTATGACTTTAAATCTTCACATTAGTCATCCTAGGCTGTGGTGCATCTAATGCACCTAATCTCCCGTTGCATTTCTAATCAATAAGGTCACCAGAAGATGATTCATTTAATCTTAAAATAAGTGCAAATGAATTGCTCTCAGAAGAAGAGCTATATAGACTAATGATCAAAGTTCTTGATGTCCATTTTCTCAGTGTTTCTTCTTATTTGGGCTCATCATTATGTAAGAATACATGTTTGTAGTATGATAAATATTTTAAGCCTCATAATGACAGCATTTCAGAATGTGCGTAAATGAGTGTGACTAGGTTGGGTCAGAACAGCCCTAAAAAAATTTGCTTGTTTTGTGGTGGGAGAAGATGTTATTTCTGAGTGGTATGGATTTGAAAAACTAGAATTTGCTTCTGCAAACAAATGAATAAGTTTGAAACATAATTTATTACTTCTAAGCTTTCTGCTGCTACTAAGTGGCTGTCACAAAGGATAGTTACTAAGATTATCTTCACTGCTATGTGATAGACCACATCACTTAGATAAATTATCTAATGTTTTCCGTGTCTACATGGAACAATGAAAAGTCTTCTCTGTGTTGCTTTGTGTGTTGTATTTCAGCTAAATTTAAACTGGAAGTAAGACTTAAGTAGTATATAAGACGATTTATGTTCTTACATTTATTCTGAATTAAACAAAGTAGGATATAAATTCTTCATATGAAATGATCTTTCTTCCCCTCCCCCATTTATTTCTTGAGAAGTTTAATGGAATCAATATATTCCTACAAAAATACAGTGCCAGGTAGGTGGATGCACATTTGGGAAATACTGCATCATTTTTTCATGCCACATCTGGTTTTGGCCAAAACCAGCACAGATTCTTGTCTGTCCAATTCTCAGTCTGTGAAGGTCCGTCTGAATGGCAGGAGACCATCTGGTGTGCCAACAACTCCTCACAGTTCTGTGTCATCTGCAGAATTCCTGAGGGTACATTCTGGCCCACCGTCCCACCCACTGTGGGTCATTAATGAAGATGTTAAACAGTATTTGTCCCAGAATACACCGGTGGCCTCCAGATGGATTTTGTGCTGCTGATCATGACCTATATGAGCTTGGCAGTTCAGCCACTACTCAATATACCTCACTGTTTATCTCATCCATATTTCATCAGTTTGTCTGTGAGGATATTATGGGAGGCAGTGTCAAAAGCCTTGCTAAAGTCAAGAGGAACAAGCCTTCAGTGACATCAGCCAGCTCTCACAGCATTTGTGGTGCATCCCATCAGGTGCCATAGGTTTGTGTATGTCCAGTTTGTTTAAATGTTCCCTAACCCGATCCTGTGCCACCAAGAGTAAGTCTTCCTTGCTCCAGACTTTCTCTCTGGTCTCAGAGGGCTGGGATTCCTGAAGGCAAATCCTACCATTAAAGGCTGAAGCAAAGGCAGCACTGAATTCCTTGACCTTTTTTGTGTTGTCACCAGCTCCCATACCCCATTTAGCAGCAGGCATACATTCTCCATAGCTTTCCCGTTGCTGCTGATATACCTGTAGAAACCCTTTTTGTCGGCTGTCACATCCTTCAGAGATTTAACTTCAGAAAGGCTTTGGCTTTCCGAACCTCAACCATGCATGCTTAGCCAGTGTCTTCGTATTCTTCCTGCGTCTCTTGTTCCTGCTCCCAGTTCCCGCTTGCTGCCTCTTTATGTTTGAGTTTAGTCAGGAGCTCCCTGTCCATCCATGCAGGCCTCCTGCCATCTTTGCTTGGTTTTGTGCTTATCAGGAAGGACCATTCTTGAGCTTGGAGGAGGTCATCCTTAAAAATGAGCCAGCTCTTCTGGGCCCTTCTTCTCTCGCTGCAGGGCTGTATCCCATGCAATTACTCCAACCAGATCTCCGAACAAGCCAAAGTAAAATTCCCAAATTAAATCTTTCCTCTAAATCATCTTGTGGCTCTGTAGTCAGGAATATGCTTTTAAAACTTCAGGTGTGCTGGGACTATTAGAAGTGCATGATTCTATGAACATCAAAAGTAAAGAAACATAAAATCTTGCATATCCAACAGTTTGTTAGTAGTTGCGAATACTTGGAAGAGGGGTCTTTGTTGCATTTTTTCTTCTTTAGAAAATAGGACACTAATTACTGTTCTCTTACCTCAGATGAATTCTCTAATGCAAAATTACAGAATCTGTGAATTCATACAGTGAAACAGATTAGATAATGCATTGGAAGCCATTGAGCTGAAACAGTGACATGAATTTGATTTGCCAATAAGAGAATAAACCCATTTTCGTTAAAAAGCCAATATAGCAGATCTAGTGTTTTAACTTAGTATACTGTCTGTAATGCTTTCTGCTACAGACTAATAAAGGTGAATTCCTGACTGCCACATAATCCAAATTCTGCAAACACAGAATTCTTTCACACTGATTTGAGACAAATGTAACTCAGTTGATTTCAATAGAGCTGTTTCTGATTGACATGCATGTAAACGATACCGTTTGTCTTTTCTCAGTTATGGCCTTTGACCTAAGTTGCTTATTACTGAGCAAATTGAGTCTTCTGCTAGTGCAGATCAATGATGTAACATGATAATCTTGCAGAGATCTCTTGCGCTTGACTGCTTTGAAATTAAAACTAAAATGAACAGTGCAGTAGGTGTTCTAGAAAATCAATAAGTATATAGTTAAAAAGTAGACCAACCGCGTGCTAATCCCTAGTTTAAGAGGAAAATATAGCATGATTTTTCAACAGATCTTAATTTGAGGTCCAGCTGGAATTCATATAACTCTGTTGTCTTGGATATTTGGGCTGTTGACAATTAAATATGTAGACTTGCGTATTAAGAACTTGACATACCTCTTGACATTTTAAAATTGCTAACAGAACTTAAAGGTTAGAATATTTCTACATGCCTTGGATCAAAATTGCTATTACAGCTCGTGATTGTTCTCATTCTGATTCTGCATCCACTTCAGTGAAGTCCTAGGGATTAAAGACATTTTCCATGTTTTTTAGTGGTGTGTCAAACAGCTGCTCTCTTATTGCCTTGAAAATTGTGGAAGAGTTTTTCTATCTTCTCTAGACACACAAAAGAAGTTGGAAGAGGGCAGTGGAAGATGATCAACCTCAACTGGTGTAGATCTTCCATAATGAAAAGAGGACAAAGCACGAGACTTGACATGGACGCAGTCACTGTGCGGTTCAGAAAATACCTGGTCCTGTTGGTTGTGTGACACGGCAATGTCTGAAGGTCAGATCATGTTAGAAGGACAGGGTACATGTGAAGGACTTTGACCAGGAAAGGATTCTACCCAAAATGGAGAAAC